ATCTATTGGAGTAGACTTGTCTGTGCCATTTTTGTTTTGTTGTCATTATGGCCACAATTGAGCTCGATCCTGCAAGATGCTGAGCATTGTGATCTGATCCTGCAAATCACATGCTAACCTTTAAATATGTGAATAGTCGCACCAGTGTCAATGGAGTTACTTGTGTGCTTAAATGTATGCATGTATTTAAATGCTCAGCCCCTTTCAGGATCAAACCCTTTGGCCAAGAATTGTTTTTTTTTCTTTACCAGTCACTGTGGGAACCTGTAGATACCGTCAGTCTATTCTCTTAGATTTTCCTGTATCACAATTTTTTATTTGCTAAGTTGTCAAGTTGTGCTTTATTTCTAAATGGATAATTCCTTTCGCTTTAACTTTTAATAAGTACCCCTTGGTTTGTAAAATTAATATGTTTAAGTGCATAGAAAGAAACTACTTTTATGAGAGCATGCGCGCGAGAGAGGGAGAGACCACCCTCTCTTGGAGGAAAGAAGGGAATTTTGTCTCTCTAAAATCTGGACATCTTCACAGTGTCTCTACTAATGAAGCCTGGGGGAGTTGAAGGGGAATTTAGTATAAGTTTTCAAGCAAAAGGTATCATAAGTAAACATTTTAATGTTGATATTGTAAAAGTATTAGGATTCTGTTTTTAAACCTATCGCTTATGGGGTAGGTTTTTTTCATTATAGCAATACTAGAAACTGAATATTGACTGAGTTCTGTGCGCTTCCCATGTGTATTTCAGTCAAGGGCCATGTCATGTATTTATATTCATATATGTAAGAAATAACATACAAATGGAAGGATGGGGAAGAGCACCCATAAATGTATGTAATATAAACACACCTCAAGTGCATTGTGAGACATGAGGCCACAAGCAGAGTGACTTTAGTATGTGAGACATATGTATATATTTTTACAAACATTTTGTGTCTTCTTCAACTTAAAATAAAGAGGTATCATACTGTAATTGTACCTTCTACTCAGTACAGCATAGTAAACAAATAATTCTGAAATATAAATTGTATTAAGTGCTTTATTTATTTCTGCTAAGAAAAATGTAATCTTGTTTTTCTCCTTTAAATTTTTGGTTTTAGTGTACTTTTTCATCAGACTTTAGACCAAGTTGCTCCCCACTACACTAGCAGAGAACTTCCCTATCAGCTTTAAGGTTTTTCAGGAGCCTAAAACTGTTAGCGACTGGCCTATTCCTGCCATTGGCCACACTTAGAACTCCCAGAGCCTCCAACTGGAGTTCCATGTGTGGAACAATCGCATCGGTTCCAAGATGTGTGATGTGCTGGGTAGAATACTTGGAGCTGGTCAGACTGTGAAGAGAAGCAGCTCAGGAAGTGAGTGGTTGAAAGATTCAGTCAAGTGCTGAGTTACAATAATTCTTGTTCTGGGAAAAAATAATATTTCTTGAAAGACAAACTTTTCTCTGAGCTGCAACCACCACCGACAGGTCTGTGTGATGAGCTGGTGAAATTAAGGTTGTAGTGCCCAGAGAGCATAGTTATGCTAATAACCAGAATGTTTCCTTTGGGTTTTCTCAAATAGCTGATCTGGTCTGCCAGGTGAGAGCGTATGTTGTGCCTTTTAGTTTAAAATAGGAATTTATTTTGACATTATGGACCAATATAACTCTGAGTTTAGCACTCTACTGACCTATGGTGTGGACTTCACTGTCATAATGACAATATAGTTACATCCATTTACAATGAACTCAGGGATAGTGAAACTCCATTTGAAACCGAATGAAAATCTCAGTTTGTTTCAGCACTTTGCATTTTTAACAACTTGGCTGTTTGTTAAATTTCCATTTTAAATCTCAGAAGGGCGAGGTCTACTCTGTGGCTTTTTAGGAGTCTTTGCAAATTTTCATTTGAAAAGGGAGGCTGTTTTATAGCGAATGTTTTAATCTGTGGCTTTTTTTGGTCTCTAAGAATTTGGCAGAAGTGATTCAGAACAAAAACACTTAAACAAACTTGAAAGAAAGCTTATGCCCCTTGTATGCAATGTGGGGCCCTGGCTAGTTACCTGGGGAAAACAATACAGTTCATTGTATTTTAAATTAACATTTCTCATTAAAAATAGGAGTTTGGGGACCTCTCACAGGCAGCTCCCTATTGCCCCCCCCCCCCCGAAAGAAAAAAAAAGAAAGAAAGAAAAGAAAAAAGAAAGACTTAACTGGCAAAGGGCCTATGTCAGAGTCTGAGAGCCAGTTTCCATTCTGCTTTCAGATTGTTACAACAAATGCTTTAATGGCAAAGTGCTGCAGTTTTCCTCATTCTTAAAGTCTCATCTAGTGTTCAGTTTAAATGAGGAAAGGACAGTTTCTCACCTCACACAAACTCCTTCAGCAGGGTGCTTTGCGCTATTGGTGTTGCTTTCTTTCAGCCACATCATCACTAATGGTACCACTCCTACAATACTGGAGGCTTCTGTGCTGACTCTCTTTGTATCAGCACAGAGTTAGATGCACTGCTCTGTGATAGCTTCGTTCAAGGCCCAGTGAAGTCACTGGGACTTCTTCCGTTGTGTGCAATGGGGCTTGCCTCAGGTTTTCAGTGCTCTATATTCCGCATCCCTAGAAACCACCATGGAAGTAGGAGCAAGTCACAAAACTCTCCAGTAGCAACAGCTCACTGTCCCCACCCTCATTCTGTCAGATGTCACCAGTGGCTTTAGTAGGGGGTAGTTGATGATGACCCAACTCTCCCTTTTCAACTCTCTCCTCCTTTGCCCACCACAGATGCAGTAGTGGGGAGGTGGATGGCTGCCCACTCCTCCATGTGCCCTAGAATCTGATACAGATGCCACTGGAAAATAATCATATAGACAGGCCTGGAAGTGCACCTGTGGAAAGCAGTACAGACTCTGACAACTATGTCTAATGTGACACGTTTCCATTTCTCAGGTGGATTTTTCCTTCCTGAGATTGTAGCTAAGCCATAAAACACGGCAAAGGATGTGATATGCCTTTAAAGCAGCTTCTGCAGCGGAGACACAGTATGCAAGAAATGCAGTTTCAGATGGAAGAAAAGGGGACTGTAGTGGGATGAGGAATTGCTCAGAGTCCAGGACTAATAGATTTAGGCTGAAGGTATTTTTTCCAAGGTAACTAAGTCTGGTGGTAACTATGGGGTGTCAGTTGTACAAGGAGTAGGGTGGCTATTTGTCTGTACAGGAGACCTATCAAAAGTGCAATGGGTGAAGTTTTTCTCCGCAAGGCCCAACCAAAGAAGAACATTAAAACAAACAAAAGTCTTAGCACCTTTATTCTGCACCCCTGAACTGTAGGTTAGTTAGAGGAGCCGGGGTATGAGGGACAATAATGTTTGCTTTAAAGTGTGATTAGTTTTAATATGAAATAGGCTTTGATGATGATCCATCCCTTTATCCAACCCAACACTTTTTGAGGCAGACTTCTTAAGAGCCTAGGCTTGGTCTATGGTGGTCCCCCTCCACTAAAATTTAGTTGTGGGGATATTTTTTAACCTGTCTTCTCATACTCACAAGTGGATTAATGCAGCCCAGCTGATAAATCTAGATTGGGCTAAATACTTCCCTGTACACTTGTCTGTGTATGCAAAATATTTATCTCAAGTTCACTTCCAAAAAATGAATTGGAAGGTGAGTCCAGGACTTGATTTCAGTCAGTTGATCCAACTGTATCCAGAGCTTCCAGCCTCAGCATGAGGTCTGGCTGACACTGTATGTAAAGTATGTCAGGTAAGCCTCTCCTCTAGAAGCTACTGGGTGGGACAGGAAGATTGATTGATATTTCTGGCCAGACAAGTGGTTTCACCATTGGTTTTCCAGTTTAGCTGTGTAAGAATATCTTTGCCCTGGTATATATTACACATTGAGATGTGACTGAATTGGAATCTTTTGAAAATTGTAAGAACTCTTTCTGGACAATATCATTTCTCCCATGCACATATATATTGTGCGATACCAATTTGCCAATATTCCTGGTGGGGCTTCTTCCAGGAGCATTGATCTTCCTGTTGTTTCTCTGATTGTGTTTTATTTTTTCCCTCCTCTTAATTCCTTTAAATTATACCTTGGTCTCAGACTTCTCTTCCCTTATGCAAAACTAGAAACTAACTGTGCAGCCATATGTTTGTCCAGTGGCTACCCCACTGAGTACCAAGCCTGACACTAATCCTTGACCAAGCCTTACCATAGCCATCTACTCCATTAAAGTTTTTGTCCTGCCTTTTTCACACAGTAAAAAGGAGAATGAACTGAAGAGCAATTCATTCCAAGGAAATGCAGCAAGTTACAAGCTTCCTGCAGAAGTGGGGTTTTTTCCCCCTCAAGGGGAATTGATTCAGTATGTTTGTTTTGCATTTGGGGAAAAAAATGCCTTAGTTACAGAAGGTATGGGAGACACCTATTTGTGCAATTGATTTCCCTAAAACCAGGATAACGTGAAATACAGCTCAGCACTCTGGGGATGCATGTGGCATATTCAGCAAACATACAAATAATTTCTGAAGTGACTAATGCAGAGCTCGGTTCTCCAAAAGCTGTCCCTGCTATTCCTGTCTAGGGTCTCTCTGAAGCACAAAACATTGGCTGGAGCCAAACACATTGCAGGCAGGTGCTGTGCAACCATCCTCCACACTCACACTTCCCTATTCTTCAGTTAGCTCTACTAATGTATCGTCCGCATCCTCGGCTCTTCCAACACTCTCTCGAGCAGTGAATGATAGTACTAGCTTGAATTATGCAAGTGATATACAAGCTTCCTCAAACCTTTCTCTCAACACACCTCCACTTTGCCCAGAAATGTGCAGCTCTACCCTTTTATCCTGGTACGTTTTTCCTCTGCAATGTCTCTCCTTCCTCCATTAATTGTTTAATGCCTGGTCCTTTCTGGAGCACATTGCCAGTGCTGGTGTTAATGTCTCATGCTAAAATGCATCAGATTCATCCAATTTTCACTTACAGCAAAGTTGGCTAGAAACTAATTCAACTTTTGTTGGTAGATTTATTTGAAAACCAGTGACCTGGGAAACTCGGTAGATGAGGTGGAGCGGCTGATCAGGAAACATGAGGCTTTTGAGAAGATTCTGACCTCTCAGGATGAAAAGGTAAAATGAAGAATACTGTATCAAGTACAGAGGAGAAGTCTTGTCTTATGGGCAAAGCATAGACTTGTTGGTTGGGCTGATATGCTTAAGCCAAATAGAGAATACTGGGAAGGCAGGAAAGTCTTAATGAAGTCTAGTGAAATAAGAAGGCTGAGAAGTGGAAGGAAAGCAATAAACAGTCCATGGTTTTATCCTGGCTGTAGTGTCTTATTACCTGTAAGAAAATTGCCCAAAGATTGGAATACTGAGACTTACCAGAGGAAATCTAGAATGAGTTCTTTACTATGTGCTGCTAATAGCAAATGTTCCTATTCCTTCCTCAAAAACAAAATTTTAGAGCAAGAATATAGATTAGTTAGCACAGAACACCATGGGGCAAGGATTATGTAAATATATACTGTGTGTGTGTCTGCAAAACTAGTAATGAAATGTGTGTGTGTGTGTGTGTGTGTGTGTTTTCCCCTGTCCTCTATGGGATAGAAGCAGAACTGCTCAGCTGTGTATAATAGTTCCTCAGCTGCTGTCAACTAATGGAGATTCTCCTTTCACCCATATAGCTGCTGTGTAGGTCAAAGTGGCCATGATGTGCGGGCGGCATAGTGGCAAATGGGAAATCCTAGGTGGCCACAGATGTATTACAATGTTATTTTAGCTTTTTCCTGCCTTTCTCAGTTCTTCCAGAAGGGGCCATCTTTTTAGGTATGGTAAGAAGGCGACAGAGAAAGGAAATTGTTTCTGTCATATTCTTCCACGTGTTAAGAGACACAGCTGTGATTTCAGTTTTGTTCCCTTAAAAGGTGACATCTCTTCAGGAACAGGCAAAGAGGCTGCAGAAGGATGGTGGGTTGGAGGGGATAAAGATCCAGCACAAACTGAACTCTGTACTTGAGAGGAGGAATTGGATCAAAGATCTGTCTCAGAGTAGACGGGAGAAACTGCAAACCACACTCCTTCTCATGCTCTTCTACCAGAACTTCGTAGAGGTAGGTGTAATAGCTATTGCCAACTTGCCATTATAACATAAGGAAAGATACTCAAGACTTTATGTAACCATAAACACTTAACTCATTGCTAAGAATTGTCCAGATAGGCTGTCGGCAGGGCTCCAAGCGCAAGCAATGTGCGTCTGCCGATAAGGCTAACTGCATAATGATTCCCTCCATACAATACTAGAGTAAGAACCAAAATTATCCATAAAATTCCTACTATCATTACATTTCCACCCTTTTAAAAAAGGCATACAATTTAACTACATTTCAGTTTTTTTATTTAACTGTCTACTTAATTTAGCATCCATAATCTGAATCCTTAAGAGTCTAGAACAATTAGCCTCTGTATCCAATGTATCGAATAGGTTTTCTTATCACTCTGCCTTGAGGTAGTGGCAGGATTATCAGTGTCCCACTTCTTTCTATTCGAACTGACCACTTGAGTCTCAGTAGCTTCAGCAGACTGAGCTGGTGTTGCTTGTATTTGAGTTGAATGTTGACACAGTTTCTGTTTGTCCCCTATTTTTATTCCCCACTTGCACAGTTCTTTTAGTGTTCGTCAAATCCTTTCTGTATCTTCTATAGACATCACTTTCCTCTGTCTCAGTAAGACAAGATCTGGGAGCAATGTGTTGGTCAATCGCCTTTGCCTGTTTCCATGCTCTTTTTTGGCGAATACAAACAGTATCTCCATTTTCTTGTGATAGCAGCTTTGTACATTTGTCAAAGAAATATTTCTGCTTTGCTTGTCTCAATTTTAAGCTAGTTTGTATATCTCTTTGCATCAGGTAGGGTTTCAACAACTTTGATGAAGTTGGCAATCTGGTTTTAAAACATCTTTTCATGTCGAGTTGAGCAGGTGATCTTCAATTTCCTATAGGGGTATTCTAATAACCCTATCCAATATAATAGGGATGTGTGTTACACAAAACAGATTTTTTTAAAATCTGATTCACAGTTTGAACTGCTCTCTCAGCTATTCCATTCAATTGTAGGAATAACAGACATGATGTTTTGTGAATAAAGTCCTATTGCTTTTCAAAAGTTTTAAAGTCTCTAGAGCCAAATTGTGCTCCATTGTCACTAATGAGCTCATCAAGGTATGTTATACCTTGCAATTATAGACTTGCAGTGTCTGATGATAGACACCCTTGTGGTGTCCTGAAACAAGCAGACTTCTAAGTATTTTGAATAATAATCAACCAGAGTAAGATAATCTGTACCTTGACATTTAAACAGGTTCATGCCAAGTTTCTGCCATGGTCTGTTGGGACTTCATGTGGTAACACTAGTTCCTTTAGATCTTTGTTTCTGAAGGTTTAACATGTGTTTCAATGGACTATACCATGTCCTCAATTTGACGTCTGGCCAGTAGACAGCATCCAAAGCTCTCTTTTTATGTAGCTCTGCTCCCATATGACTCTTATGAATACAAGATGAGATCTCCTTTCTGAGATATTCCAGTACTATGATTCTGAAGACAAGTCCATCTTGCATACTTAGTTCCTCTCTCTATGACCAATAAGCACAACTGTCCTCTTGTACTTCCATTCTCTGGTCTGGTCATCCTTGGGAAATTGTTTGTTTTAAGGTTTCAGAGTAACAGCTGTGTTAGTCTGTATTCGCAAAAAGAAAAGGAGTACTTGTGGCACCTTAGAGACTAGAGACTTAGAGTCGTCACTTTGGATGGGCTATTACCAGCAGGAGAGTGAGTTTGTGGGGGGGGGCGGAGGGTGAGAAAACCTGGATTTGTGCTGGAAATGGCCCAACTTGATGATCACTTTAGATAAGCTATTACCAGCAGGACAGTGGGGTGGGAGGAGGTATTGTTTCATGGTCTCTGTGTGTATATAATGTCTGCTGCAGTTTCCACGGTATGCATCCGATGAAGTGAGCTGTATTTCACGAAAGCTCATGGTCAAATAAATTGGTTAGTCTCTAAGGTGCCACAAGTACTTGTTTGTTTTAAGGTTTGCAGGACATCATTTGCAGTAGCTGTCTGAAATTCCTTCAACTTCTGTTCTGAAATATGCAAGTAAGACATCGTGAGATGCATTGCAATATCAGCTTCCTCTGAACTGACTCCTTCACCATGCAATTTGGACACTCTGGATAAAGCATCAGCAATTCCTAAGACTTTCCCTGGCCTGTACCCAACTTTCAGCTGATATTTCTGGAGTGTTAGCAACCGTCTTTGAATCTTTGGTAGAGCACTGCGCAAAGGTTCTCTGAAAATGGCCAAAGGAGCTGTGTGGTCTGTTTCCATTGCTGCTTTTTTCCCATAGATAAACTGACGAAATCAAGTGAAGCCAGATAATATTGCCAGCATTTCTTTTTCTATTTGGGCATAATTCTGTTGGGTAGTTGTCAGAGCTTTAGAAGCAATAAGCAACAGGAGCCACCTTTTGCAGCAATAGCCCTTAATCCGGAAGAACTCGCATCCTCTGGCACAGCAACTGGTCTTTGACATGAAAGTACTTTAGCACAGATGCCCTTGTAAACAATTCTTTCAAATGCTCCTATGCCACCTCATGCATTGGCATATGGGTGAACTTGACATCTTTTCCCAATAGTTGTCTTAAAGGAATTGCTACTGTTGACATGTGCAGGATAAATTTCCCAATGTAAATAACCTTCTGTTTTCAAGGAAAGCTCCCAAATATTTTCTCTGTCAGAGCCCATTTGTGTTTGCTCTTGTTCAGTCAGTCACAGATGCCTTTCACGATACCTGTCTAGAACTCTCTTGAGCCTTTCATCATGTTCTTGTCTGGTATTTCCCCAGACCAGTATGTCATCTATATAACATTCAACATCTTCCAGACTTTCAAATGTCTGTGGAGCATTCTTTGGAATACTTCAGAAGCTGAACAGATGCTAAAAGGAATTCTGGTGAACATGTACCTGCCTAATGGTGTGTTGAGTGAACAGTCTAGAATTTTGTCAATCGGCTGTATTTGCCAAAATCCACTACTGGCATCTAAGACAGTGAAAACTGTAGCTTCTGCTAACTTGCTAGTGAGTTCTACTTTAGGTAATTGAAAATGTTCCCTTTGTGTCACTTTATTCATATCTCTTGCATCCAAGCATACTTTTCTTTTATCTCAACCTGATTTGTCGACAGTTAGTATGGAATTGACATTTTGTAAGTTCTTGCACTTTTGTTATTACTTGCAACTGTTCCATGCAGAGCAATTCTTTTTCTATTTTGTCCCTTAATACCACTGGAAGTTTGCAAGGTGGTGAACTGCAGGTGGTACTTGCGTTTTCATCTTTATGGTGTGCTTACCTGGCAAGCACGCTCACCTTCAAATAAATCCTGGTATTCTTTAAATATATTCCATTCACCTTCTGTTTCTTCCTTTATCATATTGACTCTCTGCACTAAGTTTAAACTTGTCACTGCCTGTAAGCCCAATATAGCTTTGGAGTCATAGAATCATAGACTATCAGGGTTGGAAGGGACCTCAGGAGGTCATCTAGTCCAACCCCCTGCTCAAAGCAGGGCCAATCCCCAACTAAATCATCCCAGCCAGGGCTTTGTCAAGCCTGATCTTAAAAATATGTAAGGAAGGAGATTCCACCACCTCCCTAGGTAACGCATTCCAGTGCTTCACCACCCTCCTAGTGAAAAAGTTTTTCCTAATATCCAACCTAAACCTCCCCCACTGCAACTTGAAACCCTTACTCCTTGTTCTGTCATCAGCTCCCAATGAGAACAGTCTAGATCCATCCTCTTTGGAAACCCCTTTCAGGTAGTTGAAAGCAGCTATCAAATCCCCCCTCATTCTTCTCTTCCTCAGACTAAACAATCCCAGTTCCCTCAGCCTCTCCTCGTAAGTCATGTGTTCCAGTCCCCTAATCATTTTTGTTGCCCTCCGCTGGACTCTTTCCAATTTTTCCACATCCTTCTTGTAGTGTGGGGCCCAAAACTGGACACAGTACTCCAGATGAGGCCTCACCAATGTCTAATAGAGGGGAACGATCACATCTCTCAATCTGCTGGTGTCAAGGTTCCTCCCCCACTCTGAACTCTAGGGTACAGATGTGGGGACCTGCATGAAAACCTCCTAAGCTTACTTTTACCAGCTTAGGTTAAAACTTCCCCAAGGTACAAATTAATTTTATCCTTTGCCCTGGGAATATCCACTGCCACCACCAAACTCTAACTGGGTTTACTGGGAAACGTAGTTTGGACACGTCTTTCCCCAAAAAATCCTCCCAACCCTTGCACCCCACTTCCTGGGAAAGGTTTGGTAAAAATCCTCACCAATTTGCATAGGTGACCACAGACCCAAACCCTTGGATCTGAGAACAATGAAAAAGCATTCAGTTTTCTTACAAGAAGACTTTGAATAGAAATAGAAGTAAATAGAAGTAAAGGAATCACCTCTGTAAAATCAGGATGGTAGATACCTTACAGGGTAATTAGATTCAAAACATAGAGAATCCCTCTAGGCAAAACCTTAAGTTACAAAAAAGACACACAGACAGGAATAGTCATTCTATTCAGCACAGTTCTTTTCTCAGCCATTTAAAGAAATCATAATCTAACACATACCTAGCTAGATTACTTACTAAAGGTTCTAAAACTCCATTCCTGTTCTATCCCCGGCAAAAGCAGCATACCGACAGACACAGACTCTTTGTTTTTCTCCCTCCTCCCAGCTTTTGAAAGTATCTTGTCTCCTCATTGGTCATTTTGGTCAGGTGCCAGCGAGGTTACCTTTAGCTTCTTAACCCTTTACAGATGAGAGGATTTTAACTCTGGCCAGGAGGGATTTTAAAGGGGTTTACCCTTCCCTTTATATTTATGACAGCTGGCAATGCCCCTACATATACATCCCAAAATGCCATTGGCCTTCTTGGCAACAAGGGCACACTGTTGACTCATATCCAGCTTCTCGTCCACTGTAACCCCTAGGTCCTTTTCTGCAGAACTTCTGCCGAGCCATTCGGTCCCTAGTCTGTAGCGGTGCATGGGATTCTTCCGTCCT